TTTTTTTTTAATTGTTATTGTTATTAATTTGGAGATTGTTATCAAGATTAGTTGAAACAAAATCCTTGTTGTGTTGCCTTTTGTTTTCTTTCTTTGTTTCGAAATCACCACTTCATGTTTTTTTGTTATGGCGTATGAGTTATGAGTATGTTAATGTAGTTAAAAACAGAACCTCTCTGTTGGTTGGTGAAAAGGATGTTCTTTGGTGTGATAATCTTGGACTTCTAACAATGGGCTAATTGTTGGAAAAATACTTCATGCATTTTCTTGTGTACAAATGACTAAACTACTTAATTGTTGCTTATCACTTAATTTTTGGACAGTATAAAATTAATTACCTACATCACATGTTTTGTACGGTTCATGTGATAATTTATCCGAATAATTGGTCTCGAGAATGTATTAGAGTTTCCATTTGTTAATACATGAAGTATCATACTCCCTTTGTCTCATAATACTTGTTAAAGGTGTTATCGAGCCAAGCCCCAAGGTTAAATTGGAGCTCAACTCATCTAAGTCTGTCGTAGCTTCGTTCGACTTGACTTGGTTCAATTTGTTTAACCAACTTACATCAGATATCCCACATCGGTTGTGAAGGGGAACGAAACATGCCTTATAAGCGGCTGTGGATACCTTCACTAAGTGGGATGCGTCTGGGTAGACCAGAACAAAACCCTGCGGGAATGATCTGGTGTATACTCAACAGGGACAATATCCTACCACGCACCGCTGTGCAGGGTTAAGGCAAGCCTTAACTTGGGGGACGCGTTTTGGTGAGCTAGCTCCCTAGTTCCCAAAGGCAAAACCGTGACGGAATGATCTGGTGTATACCCAAAGCGGACAATATTCTACTACGGGTTGACTGGGCTGTTACAGATCAGATATCCCACATCGGTTGTGAATGGGAACGAATGGGCTGTTACAGATCAAATATCCCACATCGGTTGTGAATGAGAACGAATCATGCCTTATAAGTGGTTGTGGATACCTTCACTAGTAGGACGCGTTTTGGTGAGGTAGCTCCTAAAGGCAAAACCGTGAGAGAATGATCTGGTGTATACCCAAAGTGACAATATCCTACTACGGGTTTGGTAAGGTAGCTCCTAAAGGCAAAACCGTGAGGGAATGATCTGGTGTATACCCAAAGTGGACAATATCCTACTACGGGTTGACTGGGCTGTTATAGTGGTATCAGAGCCAGTACCCAGGTAGCTCCTAAAGGCAAAACCGTGAGGGAATGATCTGGTGTATACCCAAAGCGGACAATATCCTACTACGGGTTGACTGGGCTGTTATAGTGGTATCAGAGCCAGTACCCGGATCGATGTGCCAGCGAGGACGCTGGGCCCTCCAAGGGGGGTGGATCAGGGTTGTGAAGGGGAACGAAGCATGCCTTATAAGTGGCTGTGGATACCTTCACTAGTAGGACGCGTTTTGTGCTCGACTTGTTTAATTAAATAATAAGCCAAATCGAGTTGTGTTTTTGCGAATAGATCGAATCGTTTAAAAGAGCTAAAATTTGCATTTGTTTATATAGAGTTTTTTTTTCTTGTTGGTTGGGGTGTCTAACATAGGGCTGCATCACAGTCGGACCATCCAACGGAAGTCATTTCAGGCCAGAACCTAATTCATAAATTATGGGCCTCTTTAGAAATATAAATTGGGCTTGAACTTTGTCACAAAGCCCATAGCCCATCGAGGTCAGCCCATATCTCTTGATAGATGATAGACCCAATTTTCAAAACCGCAATCCTACAAACAACGCCGAAAACGACGTCGCCGCCTTCATCACCAACCTCCGGAAGCCCGCTGGACCACCTCTCTGCGATCCTTTGAATTTTGAACACCAAACTCCAACTATTTACAGGTAGCCATTTATGAGCCTTTATAGCTTTATTGCGTTGCTTTCTCTTCGTCTCGAAGCTTTTCTAGGCCTGTGAGCTCATATATGACCTGGTAATAACAGCTCGACGTTTGGCTACAATGTTTCGATCTGTTTTGTTCATTGATGTTTTTCTTGGTTTGTCTGATAAATTGTCTGTGAATATGATGAGCAGAAATGCATAATACTTATCAG